CCCTTGCTGCACGTCAAATGGCAGAGTTTAAACCTCATCGCTGGTGCATAAATTTCTACCAGTTTAGTGCTCCTGCTGCTCCTCCTCCTCCTCCTCCTTGGGATGCGTTGCTGTCCATTCGAGCATGTTTAATAAGCGTCGCCATTTTTCATGCGCAGTCAACGGAGGAGCAGCCACCAGCAGCCCCTATCCACCATCACTGTCCTCTCCTCATCCTCTTGGCTGGCTGTAACATGCAGATGGATGGAGCAACTATGAGTGCCACGTGAAGAGTTTGCTCTTAGCAAGCCAGCTGCAAAATATTTGAACTGCGCCAGCGGTGACAGTCAACATGAGATGGTAAAAGCTACACCACAGCGAAATTTTTGTGAAACAAAAACTATGTTCGGTGTGGATATGTGTATTAAATATTATAAAGCATTTATAGCCCAAGGAAATGCGAGTTATCTTTGCGAGACAACTTGGTTAAAGATTAATTTTAATTTAGCTTTAATAAGTATTCAAGTGCTGCCACTCTGTTGATTTCATTTCCATTTCCATGCATGTTTTCCCCGCGATCTTACGAGTTTCTCCACATCGCTGATAAGAATTAATGGTGAAGGCGGCGACCACTCTCCCAGCGAAACCCCATAAAGATATTAATCTCCGGGCGGAACTGCAAGCTCAATTTATATAGCATTTATCAACCATTTGCGACGGGTGTGTGTGCTGCGCCCCAGACTAAATGTGAATTATGATGATGCTGCACAAGAGTGATACATACCGTTCCCCAGCAAAATATCATCTTTATTTTTTTCTCTCTCGAGCGTGTTCTGCTGTTCTGGCTATTTCGTTGATGTCTGACTAGTATTTTCCCTGCTGCTGCTGGTGTTTTTTTTTCAGGAGCGGAAAATTTGTCAACTCAGTGAATCGTAAATGTTATATGGAGCGAGATGGGAGCATCAAGACGAGGCAAGCCACAGAGAGGGAGAGCAAACAAATGAAAATGTTGTTTGCATTGAAATTTCGCTTCGTTTCGTTTGGTTTTCAATTAGGCGAATGCGACCAACGCTGCGTATGAGCAATGTTTGGCCATAATTTGCGGCCAAACACAAATGGACAGAGAGAAATGTAAAGAAAAAATGGGAAAACAAACCGCAAAAGCAAACAGACTTGGAGCACACAGTTTGGTTGAAGGTTGACAAATGGCCCTCGGACCAGGACACGAAGACACGGCAGTACATCTGTAGCCATTAGACACGTAGCCGGAAGTTCCCAGGATGAACTGGCTCCTGATCCTGGGGCGGGGTCGGCTGCTCACGTCCTGCTGTTCTAGCGGACATGCCTTCCCGGTCAGGTGTGTGTCTGTGTGCGTGTAATAAATTTCACCTGGACACACACACACACACAAAAACACGCACAAGAGGAGCAACAAGGCGCCACGAAATTAAGTTCGCTTATTTAGTGCCTTTGCTTTCAGAAGTTTGTTTTCCTTTTTTTGGGCACTCGGGAATAATCAGCATGAAAATGTATGAATGAAATAATAGTTACAAAAAATGCTTATTTTTTGAAATTAAACATTCCGAATGCCTATAAAAACTATGAATTTTATCGTTATTTTAATATCAGAAATATTTTTAATATTTTCTCCAACGATTCGTGACATTCTTTAACAAGTCTATTAAATATTTTACCTAATTGAAGTTGGTTTTGTTTTGTAAACTCCGCTATTATACATTAAAAAGTAAATGTTACCTAATCACAACTAAAAAACCATGAAGACATGAATATTCTTATAGTTTTATCGGATTTCTTTATATACTTTTAAATTGAAAGTTTAGAAATTGAAAGCAAAATTTTAGCAAAATTATATATAATAGTTTTTTCTAAATTCAATCATATTTCCTAATTGGTTTTTAAAAATATTTAACCTTATAGCAACAAAGGAATTTGATTGGATTTTTCTTGTTTTATTCCTAAATATGAACAAAATCATTTTTCTCTCTACAAATCATTGCTGTACATGCAGTTCTTACGTGTTAAGTTAGCACAATTTATTTATGCTTATACTTATTTATTTATACTTATTCTCAGGTATTAGGCACATGAAATTCGAAGAAAAGAAAGCTGCACTTGGCAAATCATTTACTTAATTATTTAAAATTGCAATTTGTGCAAGCCTTTCCTCCCGCCTTCTCAATGTCTCGCTCCTTTCAAGACAAATGCAATTTGTTTATGGCAAAAGGAGAGCAAAGTAAAAGCGGCTAGAGTCTCGGAGCCTGGGGACTCGGCTTTTTGTAAGGACGAAAAGGGACTGGCAGGACTGGCAGGACTAACAACGCCCCGGAAACGCGGCGCATTTTGCTGAAATTACTTAGTAGCGTCGAAGAAAATGCAGGGAAACGCTGAGCCAGCATTCCGAGCATCATCTCAGATGCGTCACCTAGCAGCATTAACCCCTTGCTGACGACATCCTTCCGCCTTCGCCGTCGCAGGCTCTCTTCTTTCCAGAGCAAATTGCTATGCAAATTGAGCAAATAAATGATGCTGATGCTGATGCAGATGCAGACGGTGATGAGGATTAGCCTTGCAAATGTTGCTTAATATTTTCTCTTAGCTGCTGCAGAAAAACATCGTTAGCCGAATGCCCAGAAAATGCTTCAAATTATGGGAAAATACTGTAGAAAAGGCAAGGAGAGCATTGCTCTTTGAAATATGAAACAATTTTTACTTTAAATACCACAAGGCATTGCCAGTCTTGATGATGTATGTATACAGCTCCTACACAATGTTTGCTTTAAATTTAAATAAAGCAATTAACATACGGCTCTCACATGTAAGAGCATAACTTTAGTGACTAAAAATAGCTTTTGCCCAAATGGAAATTGTTCAATGTAGTTGCTGTACACAGGATTAAATGTGTTTACCGAACCGAATCAGTTTAGTAAGCCAAATTTTAAGCTGCGGGCTGAATGTTTCACATTTCCCAGCCCCAAAAATAACCAAAAATTAAGCTAGAATTTAAGCAGAGGCCACTGCAGCATGTGCAAACATAATGTATAGTGCATATACAGGTAAAAGTTATCAAATATCACAAAATACGAGAAAATACATTCGGCTTTTCTGCTTATTTATGCCCAGCATTCAGTTTTGGGTTAAGCTGCCAGCCAACAGCCAGAAACTTGCTCCTAACACCCGCAAGATATTGCGTCTGCTGGCAGGGCTTCATTTTTCAATTTTCCGGGAAAATTTTCCCCACTCGTGCACCTGGAAAGGGGGCTGGGAAAATGGCAGAAAGTATCCTAATAAGAAAGCTAACATATGCAGCTAGGTGCGGTGGCTACAATCAATAAGGGGAATGAGCGGGGAAAACCGCAGAAAATCTTTTTGCGGCTTAAAGGAATTTACCCAACTCATTTTTATGGCTGTGTGTGTGTGTGTGCTCCTGGTGGGAAAATAAAATCACATTTTTATCTTAAGCCGCAAAGTCGAATGGAAATTATTATCGCATAAAAATCTATTCAACATATTCATTTCGAGCGATTCGGTGGCATGACAGGGTACAAAAGTGTATCTCTTATCGCCTTTATATTGCTCAGAAATCCACTTCCCCTGATACATGTCGGTTTCTAACAACTAATGCTTAGTATTCAGTTTGATAAACGTCACAAAAACAGCTTTCCAACTTTTTTTGGCAGAACGAACTTCTGTTGAACAAAAAGCGAACATGACGGGTTTATACATTTTTCACAGGGTGCTAAATCCTCTGTTTGCCCAGAACTCCATTTGTTTAAATACAGTATTTATCTTCAGCGTGCTTAAGTGCTTTCAAGAAGAACAAGCATTATCTAATAGATAATACTAGTCAAATTTTAACAGATGTTCCGCCTCAAGGTGTTTATTAAGCAAATAAATAGAGCTACAAAAAATGTTATTAACGAGTGGAGTCTGTTATATAACATATACATTCCATTTGCCTTCGGTTTATGTGAATATATTTAATTGAGGTTGACACTGATTAGAATTGCCTTTGATTATTGATTATTAATAATTAAATTTGATGGCAGATAAGTTCAACATGTCACATGTTTAAGCGAACATGAAATGGCCAAGGTGATCATTAATCATTTGTTCTGGAAGCGTTTTTGCAACTTGGGAATTAAAGGGGGTTTCTCAGCAAACGTTTCAAGTTATGTAATCGATTTTAATATTTCATTTTGATGAGTATATTATTTCAAATAAATATTTCAATTAAATATTTATAAAAAATCGTTTGACAAAGCCGAGTTTAAAAGCATAATGCGATTCTAGGTGGGAGTACATGGAATTCAAGAAAGTACATCTTTGTGCGTTCCGATTTAGAAGGCTTGAGGCTACGTGTGCACCATAGCTCGTAAATAACTGTTAACCGATTCGTACAGTCGCAAAATAAGTGTTTCCTTCTCAGATTTTGGGCAAAGAGTCCAACAGCAAACGATTGAATTTTGCTCGCGCTCTGCAGACAATCAGATATTTCGGTTCTCGGTCATTTACAGACCCTTTGTTCTTGACTGACGATTCAAAAAGTCTTTTGCTCATATATGTATGTACATATGTGTGTATATGAAGTTTCTTGTGAATTGAGCAAGTGAGCAGTGATACAATTTATTTAAAAAATGGATCGTATCACTGTACTCCAAAAGAAAATGATTGAAAAGACCGTTTGAGTTGACTTTTTCAGTCAATCGGTCTTTAAATAAGTCTTTTTGTGTGAAAAAAAAGATGTCCTGCTCAAAGAGAGAATGAGGATATAAATATGATGTTTTTCGGTTGTTTTCGGGGGCAGAGCGTAAGGAAAAAAAGTGGTGTGCTCAAGTACAGCATTCTTTCTCTGACTTTTAAATACAATATCAAGCAATTTAGGAGCGAGTTCAATAGCCAGCACGATATTACACCATAGTAAACAAAAATCGTACGTTAACCTAGAATCTTTAAAAGTTTATCTAACTATATAAAATATACAAATGAATTTTCAAACTCACCTCGATGCAGAACTGACAGCCGCACTGATGCAGCGACATGGCCTCGCCCACCTCCTCCACATCGATCAGACACAGCTTGCAGGTAAAGGGCTGGAAGTTGACGGTGGTGGGCGTGGCCGGAGTGCCCGCAGAGGGCGTTACATCCGCGGAGGCAAGCATCTCGCGCCGTTTTAGCGCAATCCCGTCCCGCACACAACAGGCCTGGGCCGCCTGATTGGCACTGGCCATGGAGAGCAGCGATGTCACTGTCAGCGGGTAGGCGTGATCGGTACCAAAGGGTGCTAGTTCACCGCCAGGGGATGCTCCAGGCGCCGTAGGAGTGGCGGGCGTCGATGTCCCCTGCTGCTGCTGCTGCTCCCCAAGGTTCAGATTGGCGGCGCAGCTGGAGTGCAGCGTGGCCGTTGTGACATTGGACGGCGGACTGGGACTGCTCGAGCCGGCCGTTGCTCCTCCGCTGAGCCTGATCTGGGCATTCACGTTGATGTGCGGCTCCTGACTGCGGCGCTGCTGCTGCAGCAGCTCCTCCACTTCCCGCTGATTCAGCGCCGAGTCCGGCCTGGGGACAAAGCCATTGGACAGGGAATACCGTGAGCCGGAGGCAGCCAGCGATAGGATGCTGGAGCAGCGCGAACAGGTGCCCACGCCATTCATGCTGCTCATACTGTTCCGCAGGCGATTCAGGGGTCGGATCTGCTCCACGCCTCCCGAGCTGAAGATCCCGCTACCATGAACGGCTAGTGAGTGACCCTGACTTCGGCTCTGGCTCAGGCCGTGTCCGTTGCCGTGATTCTGCGATTGGGATTGACGGGTGAGAGCCAGGACAGTCTCGCACTTGCGCAGTCCCGTGTACTGGACAATGGACTGGGACTTCTCCTGGTGCAGGCTGCTGGCGCTTCCCTCGCGTCGCATGATGTGCCATATCTTCTGCTGGACGACATTCAAGGAGCTGCTCGAGCCGCTGATGCTCAGACTGCCCCGTCCATGGACATTAGCTAGCTGGCGGCCAGAGGGATCCCGGAGCACCACATCCTGTTCGGAGGGAGTGCGTGTGATCCGTATCTCCGGCGAGGCAGGTCGCTCCCGATCGGGTATACCGCCAACTGCGGCGCCTCCTCCTCCTCCTGCCGCCGCTCGACTGCTACTAGCTTTGAGACCCACCAGGGACTTGAGAAAGTTCTCAAGACGACGTCTTCGCGGCAACTGTCCGCCCCCCGAAAGTCCCAGTGAGCTCTCCAAATCGTGGGCAGCTCCGCCATTGACTGCCAGCGCTCCTCCTGCTCCAGAGCCACCTCCACCGCCTCCTCCTGCTCCGCCTGCGTCGCCATTCGCCGAGGAAATGATGACCTTGCTCCGCGCCTGTGTGTCCAGTAGCGCAACCGTTTCAGCGTCGCCGGAATCGTGGCCGTGGGCGTGGCGGGGCGTGGCATGCAGGGTGGTGGAGGCGGCACTGGTGGCCTTCTGGCTGGCGGAGCGCTGGTTCTGCTTTGTGTTGGCCAGATTGTGGATTGGCGAGGAGTCCTGGGGGCATAGAGAGTAATGTATCGGTAAATTGGGATCCGGAATATGGCTTAGAGCCGACTAGTACTCACCCGCGAGTCCTGTTCCAGCTCCTCTTCGAGTGCACTGTAGACGGGCGCGTACCAGGAGTAGGAGAGCTGTTTGCGGGCGGACGGAGCCGCAGCTCCCGCGCCTCCACTGACAACGTTAGCCGTGGGTGGTGCCGTGTAACCTGTTCCGTGGTGCTGCTTGAGCGGCACAAGCTTGGCAGTTCCTACTGCTCCTACCGCTCCTCCTCCTGCTGCTGTTGCTGGAGTTGTGGTCACCAGATTGTTGTTGTTGTAGCTGAGCGGTAGACTGCGCCGCTGGTGCTGACCTCGGGTGGGAGGCAGGTGCTTGGTGGGCTTCCTGCCCACTCCGTAGAGACTGCTGTGGTGCTGGCGCCTCTGCTGCTGCTGATGTTGGTGCTGGTGATGATGTTGATGGCTTCCCTGAGACAACTCCTTCTTGGTGAAGATAAGCGAGGCACTATTCTTGTTCAGCCTTATGGATCGCTGCTTATCCACCACTGTGGCCTCTATGTGGGTCAGTAGCGGCACTGTCTCCGAGAGTGGCAGCAAATGCTGTGCGGTCGCCGATTCCGAGGGAAAGTTGATCACAAAGCTCTCGGCGGCGTCATCAAAGACACTGGCCCTGGCCGCGCTTACACAATCCTCGCTGGACGAGGGACTGCTCAGTGAATTCCGCTTGGAGCGGCTCTGGTTGTGGTTGTGGTTATGGTTATGGCTCTGGCTCTTAAGATCCTGCGAGTGCTGCTGGTACAAGCTGCTGTAGCTAATCCTGTTCTCCACCAGCAGTTCCAGTGGGGGCAGTTTGGCGTGGCTGTGGGTATTTCGATCCGGATTGATCTCCTGTGAATTCGAGAGCGTGGCAGGCACGTGCACCGGCTGCGAGTGCGGATGCGAATGCACTTCAGTCGGCTGCAATCCCGTCGACGCTGGCATCGCCAATGGTGGCCGCATTCTGGCCCGGATTGCACTCGATCAGCGGCTTTTTGGCGCGGGATGTGCTCAGCTTAACCGTGGCTGGCAACGGCAGCGACATGTTGACAAAGGCCTATTGAAAAGGGAAAAGATATTTCTCAGTATGTGGGTAAAACACTTGCTCAACTAAAAGTAATTTAACTAGGGAAGCAATTAGATTGAAGAGATGATTCCTATTCAGTTTTAAAAGATTTTTGGCAATTTCATCAAGTTGACAACTGACAAGTAAACCAAAGGTTCTAGTAAACCTTTGTCTTTAAAAATCTATAAGTTCCTCAAAAACCTATCATTCTATTTCGGTCTTCTCGAAAACACATTGCTTTTTTCCCTCCTTAGACTTTAAAACTATATAATTTTTCAATATATTTTGGCTGGTAACCAAAATACGTATTTTTTCAGCGTGTTGCTGGTACAAAAACAGTTGCTACCTCCACGAATTCCATCCGATTGCCGTGCCAACTGCACCCGCATTTGCATTTACGGCTTTATTGAATTTATGGCAATTGGCCGGAAGGGAATTGTAAGGGGTTCTGCATTCTGATTAGAATTCGGCATTGTTCGGGGACTACCCTTTGGAATTTAATCTGGCCAGCTGATAAGTGCTCCTTTGTTCGTCCTTCGAGTAGCGGATAACCAAGGAAAAGAGCTATCAAAGCTTTCCAATTGAAGCGTGAACCTTTCGCTAATTTAGCTGTATATAATGGAATTATTGAGGCTGCATAACCGCATTAAGTAGCTTTCAGTGTCGCTGTCGTTCGTTTTGATGGAGCTTTCCCATCACTCATCGCCGTGGCGTGGCAATCTCGCGGGGCCTGCCCAGGTGAAATGAATAAATGGGAGCTAATCCCTTAAATTTCCAGCAAAACAAATATATATCCATGGCCAATTTAAGGCCAATTAATCGGCAAATTGTTTGACTCGCACTCGGAGGAAAGCATGCAACAGAAAATTTGCATTGCGATGCAACAGAAACCAATTTCAATTTGCAAACTCTGCGTTGGGCAAACAGAATAAATGAAAGAGAAGAGTGGAAAGAAGGGGAGGAAAAACTCTGAGAAAAGCGGGAAGGGGAGGTGAAAAGTCTCTGGGGGAATCCGCCGCCTCCTGCGACTGAAATTTTCCCGCACAGCGTCCATCCAGTCAATTAAGTTATTTTCCACTTTGAGCCTGGTCAGGTGCCATTGCCAGTGTGCCCAAAAATATATTCCCCAAGGCATGCAAATTGGTAAATAATAGAGCGAAAAATACATTTTCGGTAATTTAGATGGATTGCATTGAAAATTGCGAAAAAGTACATGTTTATTAATTTAGAAAATAAGAGAAGACTATTCAAAATTCGGACACTTCCTTTTTGGTCCCAATCAAGTGATATTAGAATGCCCAGGGGCAAAGTTTTTGACATTCTACACATTCCAAAAATAAAAATTTATCTTTAAAATAATGAAAAATAATATGAAATTAAGAAGTTTAGCTTAAATAACTATTTTAATTCTACTTTTAAAATATTAGTGTGCCCCGAGACAATTTTTTAATTTTGATCATTTTTAAATTGATTTAAATCATAAAAGATTAATTTTATTTTAAATGAAAATGTAAACAAAATCAATACATTTAATCATATCATTCTGTAAGTTCACAATTTAAGAAAAATAGTGTGACCAGAAGCAAGAATAACAAAGGCAGTATATAGCACTTATATGTCACACCCTTGGCAAGTTTTTAGGTTATACCACAAAAAACATGTTTTATTTTCACTAAAATCACATTGCAAAAAAGAAGCTTTAATGGCCAATAGTTATGTCAAAAAATTAGCGAATTCTACTCTATCAGGGCCACACTGTAGCGCAAAGTTTCGGCCCCGACCTGCAGGAATTTTCCATTAATTTCAACTTAATTACGCTGGCAGCAGAAACAGAAGCCGCAGCTGGCTCAAGCTGCACATGCCACTCAGGCATTGAAGGTATGTGGGTATATTAATTTTTGGGATGCCATCGCCTAGCCACCGTCCCAGCTCTGGCTTCTCTCGCAGCGCAACGCAACGAAGTATGCAACGAAAAAATGCGAATTACGCATAATTGCCGAGCTCAACTCAAAGAGATACAGAGAGAAAAAAAAAATTGAGCAGATATGGGAAGCTTGTGGATATTTATTTAGTTTATTTATTAAGTATTCTGAAGAAGGTCAAGGATACCAAGGGGAAACATAGATATATCCCAAGTTATTCGTTAAGAACACTTTTTGTTAAAGCCCTTTAAAATCTTTAAACTTTTTAGACATTTAAGATCTGAGATTACACAAAACAAATTAAGCTTCAACCGATATAAACATATTATTTTTTCTCCATGCATGAAAAAGAAAAGCGAAAAAGAGAAGCCACAAGCCGCAGCGTTGGAAAAAGTGAAAGATAAATTGCTTGCCCACGCCCACATAAGCGTTGCTACAAGGCCAAGTCAAAGGACGAGGAGAATGAGTGCCACCAGGGGGTGAAAGGTGAGAGGGATGGTTCCGGTGGGGCGGACATCTACAAGACACTTTTGCCGCCGCCCGGCTGACACTGGCTGCTGGTTTCGTTCTGTGGCAAGTGGCAAGTGGCATGCCTCCCGGCCAAAATTAATCGCCTTTGGCGCACAATGTGAAACGACGAAATTTGTCTTTTGTGCATTTACATTTAACGCCATTTAAGCGAACGTAGAGCGGCAGTAGTCAGTAGTGAATACCGAACGAAGATTGATGAAAGGTATCGTGCTAAGCTGGCAATACACAGATATTCTGCACCTCAGTCCCTGCTAATTGTGGCAACGAGAAACTGTCAAATCACCCGATCATGACATGCAGCGACGAGGAGACTTCCTCTCCAGCCTAACTCTAGCCCCAGCCACAGCACAATCGAGCAATCAAGTCGCAAAAATCCCGGACAACAAATGGGGTTTTGTTTCATCATCGCCACAGCAGGCCAACTAATTGACATACGTCAATTGGCCAAAACGGAATTAATGAAGAGCCGGCCAAGTGGGTGTGTGAGTGGCAAAAAAAAAAAAAAAAAACACTGAATTATTTCAGTCAATTACCGCGTGGCAATCAATAAATATAGAAAAACAAAACTTACCATAATTCAAACAGCCGGCAAATGCACTAAAAAAGGAGAATTCCTCGGTGAACCTGCAAGGTAATATAAAAAAAAGTATTATTAAAAACTGCATAATTTACATATTATTTGCATTCTAATTAAGACTTAATAAGGGCAAAAACTATACTTTTTAATACAAATTTTCATATTTATATTAATTTTTTTGTTTATCGCATAATGACACGAGCGATTGAGATTTAATAAGAGAAAATGGTTCACTAAAAGTATTACTCATTGTCTTTGTTCTTGATTGTTGCTGATTACTGAGTTATTTGTACAACTACTATTTACTTAAATGATTAAAAACCTTTCCACTGATTGTTTAAAAACCATATTCAATGAATCATAGAGATAATAAACAGAAACTGAAAAAGGAAGTGGGCTAGACACTTTTAAAAATAAAACCATATTACTACAGTTTTTAAAAAACCCCACGAAGTTGTCCAAAATAAAACAGCCATTAAACAAATAAAAGTACACTGTATTAAACTTTAAAAAAACCCCAAAGATGTCAAGAGAATCCTAGATGAAATTTCGTAGCTTCCAAATTAGTGCGCGTCAAAGCCCCAATTAATTGTTGTTAAACTCGGGCCCTAATACAAGCCATAACTACCCTTTGGGCCACCATCAGCGGTTGACTGAACAGGGAATTTTAATTGGTTGTCTATGGGGCTGGCTGTGGGTTTAAATGCGTCCGCGAGTGTGTGTGGGTTAGCGGCTAATTAGACTCGCGACCCTCCAGCAGATCCCAGGCATGCGGTCGCCACTTAGTTCGGGGTTAAGCCTGGCCAAGTGGTCACATCTACAACCATAAATATGTGTAAGTACATTTATGTATATGAGAATAAGAGTATGCATATGAGAAGACCTCGGCAACCAAAGTGCCAGAGGGTTGCCCTGAAAGTTGTGCTACGTCTCGCGTATAGAACACATACACACACACACGCGGTCGCGTGCAAATTTAGTTAATTGTAATTGCAGTCTGCTCCTGACATAACTGCCCCCACACCCCTTTTGCCTCCTGACAGCTTGTTCCGAAGCCAGGAAGCCGTCACCGACGGCAAAAGTCAATTCATTTATCAAGTTTCAGCAACGATACGCTCGTTTTGTTGACGACAGTAGAAAGTTGTGTAATCACAAAACAAAAAAAAAAGTCAAGAAGAAAGCTGAAAAACACGCAGTTGCTGACGTCAACAACTTTAGAGAGAGAAGGAGAGAGAGGGAGAAAGAGATTTATCAACTGCTAACTACTTCCAGCGTCCAACGGAGCGTATGTGTGATATTTGTCATATTTAACAAGAGAAGAAGACTTGCTCTCTCCCTGTCTAATTAGCTTCACTAAAGGGTTTACTTGGAAAAGACAGAGAGAGAGTGTCCAGAGATGGGGTAAAACCCTATCTCATGTCCGGCAGAATGGCAGCCAAAGGATTAACACAGCCACAGCCACGTAAGCAGCTTAAGTCCTTGGCTTGGTTCAAGGCAGCCATCCCATCCAAAGGACTGGCACAAGTGACAAATTAATCAGTATATTGCGCCATACGCTGGAATCTCAATTAAGTCGCAGCCAAGTCCACTCCTGGGCTCACTTCCCAGAATCAAATCCTATTTAAGGCTTTAACAATATACCGAAGGACTTCCTCGTATGCTCGGCTGGCAAACAAAACTTTTATTACGACAGTTTTCCTTTATCGCTCGTCATAACACATACAAATATGGTGTTCATAAAGATTACAATGCAGATAAACGTTTATAAGTTAATTAAATAGTGGCTTTAACAAGTTGTTAGAAGCAAAATCATTTGAGAAACCTTATTGCTAGCCATAATATACACAACTTTGAATTACTTTCACCCAAGTTTGAGATATTTTTCGGAAAACTCTCTTGCAACTTTCTTGAATGAAAATTCTCGGACAAAAACAATGGTTTATAGTCACTAGCTATAGTATATATTTCTACTTCACAGCTTTCTTAATACTTCTCCGACACAATTCACCTCCTCTACCCTGCCTTTCCACATTTATTGAGGCGTCACCTTTAAAGAAACACTAAACTTGGCGGAGGTCCAAAGGGGATTCTGCCTTCCACGGTGCATCAATAATCAATGTCGGGGCAATAGAATCTCAATCAACTACGTGACATAAGGCAGTCAGCTCCACCTGCCGCACCTGCTGGAATCTGTAAAGAATTGCAGCGATTCAGGTTGCAATTTGAGCAGGACTCCACCCCCGCTGGAATTGAGCCTCGAAAATGAGATTTTACATCGCACATCCGAGAGATACAACGCGATTCCGCCACGCCCTTTCCTTTACACTCTTTTCCAGGCCGGAAGAAGGAGAGGTACTCGAAAGTCTAGACAAGACAGAGGCGGGGATTGTATAATATTAAAATAAACAAGAAATGTGTTTCGCCAAGGAGGCAATGTGTGTAACTGAATTACGTATACGCCATGTACGCCCGGCTGAACTTAAGTTTTTAAAGTTAACACTTAATCCAGAGAGAGAGGAAGCGAGTGGCAGAGACATGTCTCGTTGAAATTACCCAAATTAAAGGCTCACGCAAGGCTTATTAGGGCCTGTGCAATCAGCATTCATTTCACAAAATCTCAATTCCGATTATTTGGCTTCAGTTTGAGCTTTGGCTAAAGGAAGTTGCTTCTGCATTGCAGCTGACGCCATTTTCATGTCGCTGGGAAAAGCCACAAACAACACAAAAGCAACATCTTGGAACCGCACTTCCCTGCAACAGCTGCTCGCACTTGGCCAACTCACACCATCGCAGTTCACAAAAGCCCACTCATTGCACCCACCCACAACTTTGCTCAGAGCTCGCTCCCTTTCATGTGTATCCATTAAAGTGCCAATAGCAGAGGCTCTTGGCCAAGTTGTGAGAGGGCCTTTCTGATGAAAGAACTGCCATCCATGCCTTGCCTTGTGGTGGCTGTGAAAATTCCGAATATTATACTTCCTGCCAGCGGAATAGAAAGCACACTTTATTTACTTATTTCGCCAGAATTTAACGTAGTTAGAGGGCTTAAATAATTGAGGGGCTCTTTTGGAAAGCTCTATGTTCATGCTTTTGCTTTGCTTTCTTCGAAATAATTAAAGAAGTGATCTTCCTATTAAAGAAAGTTAATCATATATTAAGTTCATACTTGTACTTGCAGCAGTTTCCTAAAACGTTGTACCTCAGCAAGTATAATTGCTGACTTTTCCTCTGCACAATAGGAGACAAAAGCAACAAGATAACAGGGAAATGCACAAAGGCAGCCAAAGCTGAGCAGAAAAAGCATTTCGATGTCATTGTCATAGTCGGGCGCGCATGATTTCCGTGCTTAACATTTCCGGTTCGAAAACTACCATAAAATGGCAAAAGCAGGACCTGACTGGCGAAACAGAAGAAGGAAGTGCAGATCCTGGCTCCAGCAGAAGAGGAATATGTAATGCAAAGGAGCAGACAGATGAAACAACAGAAGCCGAATGATAGACACAAGCGGAAACGAAACTATTCTAACAAAAACAAACTTTTGCCGGAGGAAAATGAACGAGAAAAGTTGCCAGTGGCAACTTAAAGAGCGATTTATATATTTCGACGAGCTCTCCTTGAATCAAAGTGGGAACCAAGGCATCCTTAGCTTTTGCTGCAAAGTTTAAGCCACAAGGACTTGAATTCTCCTCAAAGAAACATGAAATTTATTACAAAAGGAAATGTTGATAATCAAAATAAAGACCGAGAAAAATAGCTTGGAAGGTAAGTTATAAACTTGTAGCGTTAGAAAGATAAATAAAATCAAATCAAATAATTAGAAACCCCTTGGAATTTAATGTTTCATCAAACAAATACACCATTACACTTTCATTTTGTCTTATTTTAACACAAGTTTTCACTTTACTTTTCACAATGTTTACAGTTTGCTATTTATTTTTGCCTTCCCTTCAACTTGCATATCACAATTGTACTACATAAAAATATATAAAAAAAAACAAAAATAAATACCAGCAAAAAAAGAATCGTTTAAATTGTCACCGTTTTCGGCTGATTTATAGTTGGCCAAATTAATTGAGAATAAAAGCTGAAAGCAGAAGCGAGCAAAAAGGCAGCAACTGAAATTGAGCTCTGCTCCGCGCGAAATAAAATAAAAAAATAAAAAAACACACAACCCGAAATTAATTGCACTTGTGAACTTTTGATGTTGTTGTTTGGTTTGGTTTTTCGCCGCTGCCTTTGGCCTCTCATTTGTTACAGTAAATTCAATTAAACAATGCAATCGTATAAACAAATCTACAGCCTCACGCCCCGAACCCCAACTCGATTCGCCCTCTCGCATAGTTTTTAATTGAAAAATGTGCAATTAAAACTCTCGAATGCGCAAGAGAGCCCGCACAACGGGGCGTATGAGCAATGTTCGGTATGTATAAATTATAAGTCAGAGGCAAATTAATTAAAGCACTTAATTTTCCCCTAGATTCAATTACATTACATGGCATTTAATTAAGCGCATAAATGTTCTTTTATCATCTCACTCTCTGCGAATAAAATTCGACAGGCAGGATAATCAAACAAATGGCAAGTAAATACATTTTTGTCGGCAATAGCTTTGGGATTCTGATGGCGGAGACCATAATTTGGCACATGGCGTTATAAAATATTGACGTCCAAACGAAAAGCAAGCCAGGACCTGCTGTTAAAAGTCGCAAAGCACACATATTTGCCATTCCTGTTTGTGCGGGTGTATCTATAGGATATATGTGCATATATATGCGTGTGTATCTTTGGCACATATGCGGTTAGTATGCTGTGTCGTGTTGCTTCTGCTTCTTGCCAGCTGTCCTTGCGGCGGTCGCTCTTGACAGGACGTCCATATAGCCACCCACAAGCACACACACACACACACACACACAAAAGGTGTGGTCCCTGACTCCTAACCACATCATACCGGCAGCTCATCTGCATATAGGTATAAATATCCCTATTTCTATGGGAATGTGCGTTACAAAACGAATAAACTCGGGATCATAGGAAGATATTTAAGTAA